TCAGGCCTCTTTTGTATACTTACAGTGATAGAAAAGGCGATATTTGACTTAGCAAAAAAAGAATTTTTGAAAAAGCTGCAACTGGGACTCCAAACCGGGACCCCAAAGTTGCCAGGCAAGCGCGCAGACCACTGGGCCGCCGAGACTTGGGGTTAACCCTAGGTTAACCCTAGTTTTGAAAAGTCAATTAGGGTTAGCTCAGGAAAGGGTTAAAGCTTGTTCCAAGATATGGTTTCCGCATATGAAATGAAAGAGCACTTCGTTGCGCATCTTCTCAACACCAAATGGTCCGGATAAAACAATAGCACGGGGGTTTAAATGGGCCCCAAACAATTGTTACCCCAGTGGGCCCAAAGGGGTTAATGTGGACGATTTGGTTATGCGTAGGGTTAGGCCGCTCTAGACTTCACAGGCCTCTTTTGTATACTTACAGTGATAGAAAAGGCGATATTTGACTTAGCAAAAAAAGAATTTTTGAAAAAGCTTCAACTGGGACTCGAAACCGGGACCCCAAAGTTGCCAGGCAAGCGCGCAGACCACTGGGCCGCCGAGACTTGGGGTTAGCGAAGGTTAACCCTGGGGTTAACCCTAGGTTAACCCTAGTTTTGAAAAGTCAATTAGGGTTAGCTCAGGAAAGGGTTAAAGCTTGTTCCCAGATATGGTTTCCGCATATGAAATGAAAGAGCACTTCGTTGCGCATCTTCTCAACACCAAATGGTCCGGATAAAACAATAGCACGGGGGTTTAAATGGGCCCGAAACAATTGTTACCCCAGTGGGCCCAAAGGGGTTAATGTGGACGATTTGGTTCTGCGTAGGGTTAGGCCGCTCTAGGCTTCACAGGCCTCTTTTGTATACTTAAAATGATAGAAAAGGCGATGTTTGACTTAGCAAAAAAAGAATTTTTGAAAAAGCTTCAACTGGGACTCGAAACCGGGACCCCAAAGTTGCCAGGCAAGCGCGCAGACCACTGGGCCGCCGAGACTTGGGGTTAGCGAAGGTTAACCCTGGGGTTAACCCTAGGTTAACCCTAGTTTTGAAAAGTCAATTAGGGTTAGCTCAGGAAAGGGTTAAAGCTTGTTCCCAGATACGGTTTCCGCATATGAAATGAAAGAGCACTTCGTTGCGCATCTTCTCAACACCAAATGGTCCGGATAAAACAATAGCACGGGGGTTTAAATGGGCCCGAAACAATTGTTACCCCAGTGGGCCCAAAGGGGTTAATGTGGACGATTTGGTTCTGCCTAGGGTTAGGCCGCTCTAGGCTTCACAGGCCTCTTTTGTATACTTAAAATGATAGAAAAGGCGATGTTTGACTCTTTGAACTCGGGACCTGCAAGCTGCCACGCAAGTGCGCAAACTACTAGGCCATCGAGGCCTAGGGTTAGTGAGGGCTAACCCTAGGGTAAATAGAAAATGATAAAAAAAGACGAAGAATAATAATAATAGCCTACTAGAGGATGAAATTCAAACGAAAAAATAAACTTAGTACCTAATATAGGACCACTAAAAGTTAAACTTAGAGTTGATCTTAGACTATGATTGTATAATGTAGTCCGTGTTAATTTTTGGAAATCCTCTTTCTCTCTCCCTTTTTGGTTTTTGCCTGCCTAATTTTGATTGATGTTTTGTCTAGATTTGGAAATTGATGTTTGAAATTGTATTTTCTTTCAGATTTTGTGAGATGATGAGAGATTTTCATGCGTAAGGATAATTCTAAAAATAGTCGTCAAGCGGCTGTTGATTAAATGTAGTGGTCTACTTTCAGTTTGGCTGGCTCAATATTTCTAGAAAAAGTTGAAATAGCTTGAATTTCGTAATTTAACATGGAAATAGATGTTAAATGAATCTTTTCAACACAAATTGGTCTGGAAATATGTAACACAGGAGCTTAAATGGCCCGAAAAAACAAAGTTTAAATACCCAACTTGCGAATGGTTCAAAGTGGGTTAAAATGCAGCAAAGGCAATCAGGTTTAGCTAGGGTTAGGCTACTGAAATTTATTTACTTGTGATCTCTCTGTTAATTGAATAATCGATCACATATGTTTTATTGACAATTAACTGGTTAAAATCAGTTTAGGCCTACCGTTCCATGTTTGGAGATATTTCCAGATATTTCCGATGGTTTGATAGGTACCAACGACTGTTTTATTACTATGTAAAGTAAAACAATTTTTATTAAAAACAACACACTTATTTTAATATTTTGTGTAGGCAAGCTGTCCTTTGGATTGTCGACGAGTCGACTAACTAAAGGTTGTTTTAGTGTAGACGATTTAACTCTCTTTGTAGACGAGTTAACTGTCGACGAGTTGACATGTAGACGAGTTGTCTGATTTTATGTTTTTGCTCTCATTTTAACCAAATTTGTACAAGTTGAAGGCCCATTTTGTGAGGGAGAATCGATTATTTGTTAATTCATTCTTTCTCTCGTTTTAACAAATTTTGTTTGTCAAAGGTGAAGGCACATTTTGTGAGGGAAATTTGATTATTTATTTATTAATTCATTCATTCGTTGTCCTTCGTATTTCGCGCCATATATTTTCTTTTCAGTGAAGCGGAAAAAAAAATTCACACATGCGCACAGCAATTGATATTTTCTCGCCTCATTTTGGACGCCATATTGAAGACGAGGTTTTGGACGATTTCGAGGTTTGTGACTCGTTTTCGGTGTAAAGCACCTGCCACAAAATGAGCTGGATCCCCTCTGTGCTCCCTTCTACGGACAGTCGAATTCTTACAAAAACATGAAACTAAAATATTGCAGATTTTCCAAAGGCTTTGCTAAACAGTCAGTTGTTCACGCTTGATTATGTTGTCTGTTCGATGAAACCGTACTTGGTCCATGATGGGAATAAGGTGGTTGGTAGGTACGAATAAGTTTAGGAAAAACAAAACAAAGTGAAAGTAGACAAAAGTAGTTCCAGTACTGGAACGGTACACCAAGGTTATGACTATAGACGTAACACTCTCGTTTCTTTCAAGATGTGTGAATTTTATTATTATCTAATTAGTGACCAAATTTAGCTTTCAAAGAACCTATCACTACCATGACCAGATATCTACTGTTTTAACACCTCTCCTTTACCATATGCCCATTTTAATGTATGAACTGTATCTGTCGGGCGAGGGTTTGCTAAAGGCATCTTTATTGAAGCAAATCGTATCAACTGGTTTCGACGGCCGATTAACAACACTTGGTAAAATCGCCCTACATAAATGACCATTTGCATAACCAACTTGCATGGTTACTTCCCAATAATCTTACTACAAAGATTATTGAATGGAATAAAAATTTCTTCAGATCTTTCTCTTTGTTATAAATTTACAAACACTGATTAAAAAATAAATTTTTTTTATCTTTATTCCTATAATTGAGTCCTCTTAATCTTGCTAAATCTCAAACAAATTGTATCAAATCGATTTGAATATATAAGTGTTTTGGCAAATCCTTGTAGGCATAGCTTACGCTTATATGAATGCACACTTTGATCTGTGTCGATGCGATTTGTGAATGTAATAAAACCTATAATTAGACCAGTGGAGAATCTTATAATCTTAAGCAATTTTCCTTTGAATTTTTTGAAACAAAACTTCTGTCCTTCCTGTTAACAAAAAGTTATATTCTTCAGGATTAGAGGATGACCAAGGATGATGAAGAGGCTGTTAATTCATCAGAAATGGTCATGGTTGGTTTACCAGTGGTTACATATGTTACTTCTCCAACCCAAGCTACCCAAGTTTTGACTCCACCTACAGCTTATGCTGAGAGAACAGACATGCTAGCAGAAAGCAATCCCACTGATTTAACGCAAACTAACTTAGCAGCTCAAGCAGGAGGTGTATTAACAGCTTTCACCCAAAGTAATACCTTATTTTTACTTTCCAGTGTGAATGAAATTCTCATAACCTTCTTATGTGCAGGCATTATCACATTGAAGAAGATGGTAAAAGCTTGTATCATCCCACGGGAATGTTAGAAACTGACCCAAAGTGACATCTGATCTTTATCTTCCGTTGAAGACCTAGGTGTCCTGTAACAATTCTTATAAGGTTACTTGATAACTGAAATTAAGCTCTTATCTGCTGATGTTATTATTTGATGGTCAAAACAATTGAAATAATGGGTTATTGTCATTATGTTTGTAAAATTTAGATTAGATCGATCATCAAATTTCATGCTCAATAAAATGCCAGTTACATTTTCTCTGATGTAACTGACATTAAACTTTTCAGAAAAATGCCCTTCAACACATAATTTACCAACATAAAAGTACCAGTAAGAATCCAATCAAATCAATATATTCATATTATACTTCAATGACACAAAAATGTTTTTTTATTTAGTATTTTTAGAAAATTTCTCCTTTAAAATATTTTGATTTTTGATTGATAGCCTGCCCTAGATAATCAATCTCAATTTGGTATTCAATGCCCAGACCTACTTGTACCTACTTGTAAAATTATTTCATTAGTGTCACTAGCTGATTGATTGACTTAAGTGTTGACTTTCTGCTGTCTTAAGGTATCCAATACTGATTTTAATGCCAGATTTTCAATCAGCGTATTAAAGGTCTCAAAACTAAAATGAGATTTTGAGTTGTGGTACCATTTTGATTTTTTTAGATCAAATCCGTTCAGATCATACAACATTACAAAGTTTACTGGCAACACCATTAGCAGGCAACCATCAAGCTTTATTTAATCCATTAGAACAACAGATACAAATAATAACAGTCAACAACCCCTCTGATTTATTGGCTGGTGGGTTTACAGATGCTTCTGGTCGTCTGCTACAAGCTCTGCCCACTGGTCCAGGTATCAACCCAGAATATGCCACCATTATTGCTGTTACTGATCCAGCAGAATATCTCCAGATGAAAGATGGCGAAGTGGAAGGAGATGAAGGTAGATTTTGAGCTTTTCTAATAATTTAGTTGAAGAGAATTTCGAAACTTTTCATGTTTATCAGGAACACTGATTGCATCAGTTTGCACAATTCCAATTTTAAGGCAGACATCTCTGTGGAAGCAAAATGATGATATGATACTTATCTTGATACAAAGGTCACGATACGATAAGTATCTCGATATATGTGGTAATGGGATAAAATGTAATACTTTATCTTCAAGGTTTGTGATATTTTAAAATCTATAACTGTTATATTTGGTAATGTAGTTGACAGTAGTGGTTAAAAATCAGTGAGAAAAATTGTGATTTCATTTATAGAAAAAATTCCCACTTTTCTCTAATGATGGGTATCGTCGAGTATCAATACATTATCTCGAGTCGTTAATTCTTTGTGATTTCAGAAATGGTTGAAGCCATTAATACAGTTGAACATAATGGTACTGAACTAACAAATGTAGTATCTAGTGACTCTGTAGCATCATTATTAATGCCACCGCCCGCAACTCCAGCACCACAAGTTTTACCACCTGATTGTCCGGCATGGGCTGCTAGACTTAAAGACTGTGAGGTAAGAACAAAGATTATGGTACTTTCTGGATATGAAATATTGCACCTGATCTTCCAGAAAAATCTTGATTACTTTATTTCAATCAGTCCTTCATTAAAGTTCCACTAGCACCCTGTAATATATCACAGTATTTCATGGTGGCCATGTTTTCCAGTATTATTTTCAGATTGGACTGCAAGGTTAACACGAAATGAAAACTTGAGTGAAAGAATTGTCCCCATAAGTATCAACTACATGTATATTCACATTGTCATATTACAATTATGTGACAAATTGATATTAAAGCGCCATTTTTTGACCAATCATACCTTAGTCTCAGAAAGGGAAATTTTTTAGCTAAGCTAATCAGTAATATTGTTCACAGCTCATCGTTTGAGCCTTCAAATCCACATGTGTCAAGAATTATACGAGTCATTTTTTCTTGAGTCACTGCCATATATACAAAAGACATGACATCTAGTCAAATTCCTAGTTTGAGATAGTCATATTCATACCTTTCTAGTACTTCTGAAGACTATTAACATATATTCAAGGCTCAAATCAACCCCCGAAAATGGTGCATCTGCCCCTTTAAAGATTTCCACCCCGTGAATTTACAAGGATTCAGTTCATTCATTGCCATGGAAGATTCAATTTGACAGAAACAGACTACTTCTCCATAATGAATATCAATGTCCACCGTATGGACATATATGTACTTGATATTTGATGTGACGTTTTGTCAAATATGAATTTCAGAAAATTGGTGATTCTTACCGTGGTTATGTAGAAAGTGAAGTAGAATTAGATTTATTACTGACCTATCATAAACAACAGACTCAAAGTTTCTGGGGTACACGTCAATCACCTAGTCCTGGTAAACCTTCCACAAGATTAATGTGGAAATCACAATATGTACCATTTGATGGTATTCCCTTTGTAAATACAGGCAAGTAGGCTACGTTCATTTATACAATTCTGATAGACTGATGATGACATATTCAGACAATTTTATGAATAATTTATTATTTATTAGACTTAAAATGGTGATGTTACATCATACCTCCTTGTCTTTATGCACTCTTGCTTTACTCCCCTTGGTTTATTCAACCCGGTTACCCCCTGTCAGTGATGCAGGTAAGATAGACTGACATGGAAAATCAATAACCATGAACATTTTCTTATGTTTAATCAAGATCAATTTTAGAAATTGTCCTCAGTAACTTTTCATGTACCCCCTATAGTAATCGGAAGTTCTAGTTCCTGAGTTTGGAAAGCATGACAAGGCAATAGTCTCTTCAACTTCCCAGACATTTCTATACACATGCATGTATATAATCCAAATTTGGGCATTGAATGAATGTTATCGAGAGATTTGCATGAACTCAGTATGGTATGTATGTTAATCATGAAAGATTTTCTAATTTTACCAATGACACACAGGGGTTGGTGTTTCTAGTCATTGTGAATGTATTTTGATGAAAAGGCTTATTGAATAACACTATAAAACTTGTTTTATGAATTCCGTTGTAGGTAGTCGTGCTGTTGTTCAAGAATGTCAGTATGGTCCAAGAAGAAAGGGTAATTGTAAAACAAAAGGTGATTCATCAGACACGAGAAAGTTTAAACAAACTTGTCCTGCCAGGTAACTTATCTTTTCTTATCAAACTAGTAATTTAATTCAAAGTTATACAGAGGCCCTATTATTTCCTAAAGTCTAAATATTATTTAAAGGGGCAGTATGCAAAATTCGTAAATTATACCTGAAAATATTTCTAAAGTATGCTATTTATATCTATGTGTAACTACTTGATCAAACTATATTTATTTTAAAAGGGTTAATGAAAAACAGAGGGTACTAATTGTTAGTTATGCAGTTTGATCTAGTTTCGACCTAGTTTTGGTTATAATTGCTTGTTATATTTAGTTGAAATCCTTAGAAAACGTAGGAGATATATTTCTCTACAGTTAGGCTTTTATTTTACTTAAATCTGTGCAGTAGTTTTCTAACAGCTTCTGAAAAGCTCTGTCTGACAGTATTCCGTTGCGTACAATCCATTCAAATGGCTGCATACTGTGATTCAAGAAAATAGCAGTCAAGGAATAAGAGGAAGTTAGTAATATTTTGACATTGTGAGGATGATTTCTGAGCTGCCAATATCTTAAAAAAGTTTGTTTTTTACTTTTCAGAATCTATGTGAAGAAAGTCAAGAAATTTCCAGAATATTATGTAGAGTTTGAAAGGTTAGATAAGAAATCGTTAAAGTATGCTATGGATAGAGCTTTCCAGGAGTTGAAACAGAGGGGCTTTGATCAAATAGGTCAAGAAAGGTTAGCTAATCAGTTTTTGGCAAAATTAGTGTGGTGTGGTTTCCTAATCTGTTTGCTTTACTAGCTTATAGAGCTCAATTTTAACTATCAATGTCTCTTTAAGAAGTTGAATGGGATCTCATCTAGAGATGATCTAAGCGACACATTTTAATTCCAAATGGTGGTATCGAAAGCCAGAATTGAACTACTTAGCATAGCAAATCCCTTTTGTTTGGGATATATTGTGGAGTAGTTCTTTAATGTGATTTTGCAAATTTTCAGGCATTATGTACAGTTACCCACAGAAAAAGCTCATCAATTTCATGATGAAGGTCCATTAGCTAGTGCCAGTTGTATTACCATAAAACCTGAGAGTGGTATTACTAGTTTTCCTGGTGAAGAAGAATCCAATATGCCAGAAAGTGAATGTAACATACATCCTAAACTAGCCAGTAAAATACGAGAGTTAGTCTCTACGGGCGAAGTGGGTGTATACAATATTAGAAAACAACTAAGGTGAGGAAGAAAGAATAAAACAACCAGAATTAGACACTTGCCTGCTTACCTGAGGATACAGGGTTAAATCCTGGTATAGGTCCAAGCTACCTAGGTTACCATGTTAATGATGCTGTACGAAGGGGCTCATGTGGAAGTGTCTAGCTCTTCAGTACAACAGACAGTGTGTGGTAAATACTCCTTTGAAAATAGAGTAGGTTATTGCCCTTGTCCTGCCAAAAGTTCCCTCATTGTACACTGTATTTTTTGATATAGGAATCTGTGAATTTTGTCTTCACAAATATGCATCAAGGACAAATCCATGTAACTTGGATACTCGTGAAAATAAAGAATTTCTATTTCTGAAAAAAAAAAATCCAGAACTATTTCTTTAATTATTAGAGTAAAATGTGTGTTAAAATCTAGCCTTTGATCTGTAGTCTATTGCTTCATTTAACATTTCAGAAATTTTGTTACCAAAGATATGTATCCTGGAAGTGGAATACCAGAAAGACATGATTGGACATTATTCCCTACTGTTAATAATATTAAAAATCATATACATCAAGCATTAAAAGATATTGAAAATGGCACCTTGGCACTGACCGCCACAACGGTAAGATTTTTTATTTTTGACAAATATTTTACATTAATCTTGAAAAATTAAGATATTAGATTTCAAAGTTAAAATAGGATGGGGTTGATTTTCAGTATGTTATGGTTTCTTATTTGTAAATCTATTGCTACCAGTATCACCTATCATAATAACAATCAAATGTCCAGTTTTCCAACAATTAAATACTCAATGATATCATATAATCCTAAAGAATAAGAATTGAAAAGCGCTATGGCTAGATCTAACAGCTTTAGAAGTTAATATTTAGATGACTATATCTGATTAAACATATTGAGTAGAAAGATTATAAAAATGGAATTAACATTGATTGTTGAATTGTTCTAGGTAAATGTGGAGATTATAACTAATAGTGATAATAATACAGTAATAGGTGACACGGTTGGTACTGGAGAACCTATAATATGGCCTCGTGTCAATGGTACACCTATACCAGAAACTGTTACAGTCACTTTAACTCAGAATACAGGGGAAGGTAAGATTGTAATACCTTGTTCGATACTTCTCGTGATAACCGTATTCACAGGGTCTATGTTGTGAATTTCTATCAATATTGGGCTTCTTTCGTATTTACTACAACTTCTCTGACCTTCACCTCGATCGAGTAAAAATATTATTAAGGCGTTTAATTATGGGGACTTGCAGTCAGTGCACACTAACAGACTTTTATTGACTTTTAATTGATTGGAAATATATTTATTTATCTGATTGAAAATTGGAATGATGAAAATTGATTCTATCGGTGTTCCAAATATACATTCAAATTTTAGAATACCTCTTTACAATCCCTTTATGGAAATGGGACGAAGCAATATGACTCTGCGCTTGAATATACCATCTTCTGTCTCATGTATTCCTGAGAATCATGGCCACTAATCAAAATTGATAAAACTTATTTTGAAATATATTTATTATTTTCTTGGTTTTTTCTCTTAAACCCTTACATTTATTAAAGATATTGAATATTTCAGAGGGTCATCATGTGATATCTAGAATAGAAACTCATCTTAGTGATGGTACAACACAAGTTAGTAATACCATAACACCAGAAACAGCTCAATTATTATCTAGATTACATCCTGGTATGTTTCCTGCTGGTAGTCTAATACAGGTAGGTACGGTACTAAGGGATTGAGCAGGTAACCAAGTATGTTTGTTGCTGCTTCATAGGCTGGGGTTCTGCCAAGGATGAGTCGAAACGATACATTCAGATTGTTTAACTTAGTTTCTCTAGATAATGATGCAGATCAAATTGGTTTGACATGGGAAATTGTCATATTGTTCACATGGTTTAGCAACCAAGGTCTTTACGGATGATAGGAAAAAGGTACAGCCAAGGTTGCTTCTGCCCTTGCAAAAATTTCACTACTTACACAATGCATGTTGACATTTTGAAAAAGATAACTGATTATGAGCAACTTATGAGAGATCATTATCATGCACAGCCCTTATTTTTCGTTAATGAGTGCTGGACCAGTGAACAGTTTGCTATGTAATACTACTTCCATCCCAAAACGATCATTCTCCTCATTGCAGACTGAAGCAGGTTTAGTTACTCAACAAAACGGTGACATATTAGTAGGAAGTACTATGGTCAGTGATACAGATCAAACTACTATAGACTCTACTCAAGTTGATTGTTTAAATACTGAACCCTTACAAATAGTAGATGATCCTATGATGGATGATAATAGTGATGTTCATGATGAGGAAGATGATGATGATGATACTAAGGATCATTTAACAGATACATCCATGATGATTGGTACACTTGCTGCCACATGTAAGTTTTTAAGTCACAGATTCACCATTTTAGGGAGTAAATAGTTCCTTTGTCTCAAATTTCACACAATTTCCCTTTCTTTTAACACAATTTCGCGATTGTTAATGATTTCTTTGATTATTGTTTCATGTTTGGCTTTTGATGTGTGTTTTTTCAAAATCGTTATGACATTTATATTTCAATACAATGGTTCTTTTAAATGCTTTATTTGTGCCTTACAGGTGAGAGTGGTATGGACCCATTAGCAACTGCTGCAGATCTATAAAGAAGTGCTGTTATCAAGAACTAAGCTAGTGATTTTTAATTTATTGTTACAACTTTTATAGTGCAATCATGTTTTTGTGAATAGTCAGAAGAAAATTATGATTCTTTAATACCATACAATTTGGTCAGATTATTAGGAAGACAGTCATCTTTCTATAAGTTTGAAAACTATTGGAATAGTCAGGTACTATTCCCCAAAAAATGTACTAAGGGACAGCTAAGCCATTTTTTGATCAATCATACCTTAAGTCTCAGAAACATAAATTGTTCACAGCTCATTGTCGATATTTGAGTCTAAAAATCCATATGAAAGTTAAAAAGACGACTCGTCTTATCTTGGAATCTACCATAGGGTATAGAAGACACATTTAAGAAATAGAAAGTGAAATTCCTAGTTTGAGTCCGTGCATTTTTGGTACTTCTGAAGACAATTTACAGAAATTAAAGATCCAAATCAACCCCCTAAAACAGCGAATCTGTCCCTTTAGTTTTCTTTTTTTGATTTCTATTTTTGCCCTGGCATATTTGAAAATTTGAAAAAGAAGAAACTCCAATGAGTTTATTGAATTCTTTCCCCTATATACCTTATTTGTAATGACGCTAGTCCTTAAGGGGTTTTGTTATATTAATATTTACTTTACCAACTAATAGCCCAATTTCAGCAGTCTGAATCACTTTTCAAAATTTGATTCCAACAACGGATTCACTTCAAATCAACTGAATTTTAATGGAAGTGAACAGTGTCTTGATTCTGAATAGTGTAGAAGATTACTGCTTTTGACTTTTTTTGTTTTTGGTACACGGTAAAGCAAATATTTAAATGACTAAATCCCTTACTTAATTTAAGTATATATTAATACACAAAATGTTAATAGTGGTAAACTTGAAAAAAAAATTTGTTGGTTATCTTTGAGACATCTTCACAATGTCAAGCTATTATGAACTGTGTCTAATACCTTGACTGCAATAGACATTTTTCTTGTGTCGCGAATACAGCGATTTGATTAGATTTTACGATAGTGAATACAGCTAATCAGAGCCCGCGACAGAAAGACTGTAACATAATGACTTTCTGTCATGGGCTCTGATTGGCTGTATTCGCTACTAAGGTACAATCCATTCAAATCACTTTATTTACAAACTTCAGAGAGATAAGAAAAGTGGCTCAAGTAGTCAAGGTATTAGTTGCATAAAAGCTTGACATTGTGAAGATGTTTCTGTGATTATTTGCTATATGGATGCCATTATGTCTTTCTTAACTGAATATATATATCATGTAATTGAATAAATGAATAAAATTTAACTTATTAGTGAGAAAGTGTGGTGAGGTATTCAAAATATTGTTGATTCTTTTCAAGGCATTGTCAAATACTTTAGTCAAAATAATAAATATTGAATTTATGTGTCCTTTTTCTTTTCTTTTTCAAACTACATCTTTGAGAGTCTCAATTTTGTTTAGTATGTAATGTGGAAAAGTAAACAATGTACTCTGGTATAAAAGCCTCTATGTAAAATAGATTATTTATGTACTTTTTCTTACAATGTGATAATATTGTTTTTGACTGTTTTAAATCTTATTTTTCAAATATTGTTGTTAAATGTGAAGCTATATAGCTGAACTATTAAAAAAATTAAATTACATATGTCTTTCTTTCTTGTTTGTCACATTTGCTATCATTGTAATCTCCTTGCATATGGAGGCTTGCACACATTATTTCAATGTATAAGGTAATAATTTAATGAAAGATATTGGTGATAAATCAGGGCTCAGTGAGTTAGACGCTTGTTTGCTAACCTGAACATCAAGGGTTCAACCCCAGCATAGGTCTGGTATACCTACAGATTTTTCAACTTAGTTTCTCCTTGTCAGTGAAGCAGGTGAGAGGGACTAACATGGAAATTTCCCTCATGGCACCTTGCATGGCGTTACTCGTCTTCATTGGCCCGTAAGGTGCAGAAAAGTAAGATATAAAATTCCATTCACAAATTATTAAAATAATATCAGGAACTTGAATCACAGCAAACAAATTAAAAGCAAAACCATTAGCAATGAATGATAGTGATGATCGTGATAGTTAAGAATATATGCATGTATTTTCTCAAATGAAAAATATATCACGACTGGTTTTGCTAGATCAGTAGGTAAAGTGATTGTATGTACATCAACACAAATTATTTTAAGTGGTCAAGTATATGTCAAAATTTACAATTCTAAAAGACTTCTAAACTGTTCAGCTAATCACACTAAATTGATGGATAAATATTGGTAATAAAAATGGTTCGGGGTTGAGTCATTGAAAATGAAGGATGAATTATTTCTTAGTTTGCAAACAGCATCTCTTTCCAGCATCAGCTGTTAATAATCTATAATATCAAATTTCATATTTCAGAACAAAAGAAAGAAACAATCAAATTTTATAAGGATAACGATTTGTGTTCACAAGGAACCTTTCTACCAAATGGTCCGTGTCCAAGACTCTTGGCATTGATCTTCCCGGGATTATCCGAAGGCCTACCCATTTACAACTGGGTCGACATGAATAATATGAGGAAAGATGACATGTATGATAAGGCCGAGATTAGAATCCTCGTCCACCATTAATTTTTTGCTCGACGTAACTGAGCGCATGACACGACGCTCTTACCGAGTGTGCTATAGAAAGGCTCAATAGATATAACGATCTAAGCATTGCTTTATACAAGATTCAAGTCCGGTTCTTTGAAAATTCAACAGAAACGCTTCTTGGAAGTTTAGACCATTGTCACTTCCAAAACGCTTTAGAATATTCACGTTCTGCAGTCTGCTTCTTCAGCAAATTCAACATAAACGCACATTAGTGGCAAAGTGAAGACTGTTGTCACTTCCAGAACGTTTTTGCAATTCTAACAATCTGCACCTCCAGCAAATCAATTGAAACGCAAATTGGAAGTTAAGACCAATGTCACTTCAAGAACATTATTAAAATTCTTAGTCCTGCAGTCTAAATTATTCAGCCCTAGGTTAACACGTCTTGGTACATCCGGCAAACCTCGACAGTTTCCGTAAAAAAGCTGAATCTGTTTCAGAGCGGTAGGAGAACATTCACAGTAGACCGTTTGGATTCGAGGGCAATACTTACATGAAGAAGAGGGAAGCTATAATTGAACCACAAATAGGTCCTACCCAGTAAACATAATGATGTGTCCATGCATCTGTACTTATGCTTGATAGAGCTACAGCTGGTCCAAAACTTCGGATGGGATTCACTGATCCTCCGGTAATTCCAATCCTACAAGTTAGCGAAAATCTATGGTTAAAGGACGTTTTTCTAACCTTTGTCTATTTCGATTGGAGACGCAGAAAAAAACTCTTGTCCATAATATCATGGGTGTATGTTGCTATAAGTGCCACCCGGAAATATATATGATTAATAGGAAAGGATTATCTCAAAATCAAGCAAATGCCTCACTTTTGACTTGACAACCAAACTTTGGAAGTGTCTTTTTTCTCAAAAATCCACACTCCTCTTTGCCTTATTTTAACTTGGATTGCGCTACGACGGCCTCGATAGCTCTTGTTACTTCAAAATCATACAAATGTATGACGATGTTCGTGGAAAATGTATGCTCGGCTTTAGTTTCTATTTAAAATCTAACCCACACAGTCAATCTCAGAACTTCACGGAATTCTAAAACAAAAACTTAAAAGAAACCTACCCAGCTAAAAGTGATGCAGTAAGGGCAAATCCAACCGCGATAGGTCCTAGTAAATTGGAATCTTTAGGTCGGTCATTAACAAACGAATGTAAAACAGTAAACACTAGTAATGCTGTAAGAATCATTTCACACACAATACCTTTACCAGGGCCCACAGCTGTTAGTATGTGAGCTCCACCAGCAATAGCGACGTAGGATTCCTTTGGCAAAATCGCCTGGAATAGAAATAAAGGTGTAGGTTTTTGTGTACCGGCTACTACACTTGTTATCCTTGATTTGTCACAAATTAGGCTTATCAAAACTTCTTTTAAAGTGGGAAGGTTATACAAATCAATGTTTAACAATGAATAATACAGATATCTCGTTAGTTGAACAGCGAAACAAAGAGGGTAAATGCCATAGTCCTGGAAAATTTTTATGACAGAAAAGTAGGTTGTAAAACAATATGTAAGTTAAAGTAAGTATCTTACCCTAGCTATAAATGCTCCTGCAATACTTCCAACGATTTGAGAAAGAAAGTAAAAAAGTCCAAGCAATGGGTTTAAAGCTCTACTTATAACACATCCCAGAGTAACTGCAGGATTAAAATGACCGCCACTGAAATTATAAAAAAGGGTTTATGTTTAAGAAATAGTTCTAACCTTTGTAAGTTGGGGCAAGTGTGTTAGCTTATTGTGCGGGCACACGAAAGGTCTTGGTCGCCGACGTTTATCGTGTTGTCGACAGGATTTGTAATATCCATCCAGTTTGGTACTTGTCGAAGATTGTTTTATCGTCTGCAAGACAGACCTTCACCATCCAATCCGATTAATTCCAATTGCATGCTCCGCACGTGTTTATGGACATGGTGGAAACGACGACTTGAGATTTTTACCCCCTCATGTATCCGCAATCGGCCGGTGAAACTCTTAATAACACTCTAATCGCCGACGACGAACAGTCGTGTGCCCGCACCATTAGCGAGCTAGCAAGATTGACGCTAGAGATTCATATGGAGATAGATTCCTTCTCTTCTGTTGCTCTTGTCAGTGATCTGTAAACAGTTCTTGTGCTACAAACGTACCGAGCACACGGAAGATTTTTGTAGCCGACTAAAGTCTTTTCACAGTCAAGGAGATTAAAAATCGTCGACAAATTTAAAACAGGATTATTATATAAAACCCGATAATCGACGCGATAATCTTGTGGTGGAAGCGCAGACACACAGAAGAATTTACTCAAGATTTGCGCCAACGACAAAAGCGCGACAAATATTGTACTCTCATCCAAGATTGTCCCCGATGTCATCTTCACCACAATTACTCTCTAGGACAGCGCAGAAGATCCATTTGCCCAGGATTTATAACTGGTGTCTGTAGTGGGTTTATCTAATAATTATGATGCGAATACCGGATCTGATGATATAAATTAGTGAATAGTGGCATGGCATTTTCACCACTGCTGGAGCTGGAGCAGTACTCACCTGACATTACCAAATATGGTTATAAGTGCAGCAGCTAGGAATCCATGACACAGAGAAACTGCTACTGCTGAGGGTAGTGGAATGTTAGCACCAAGAGGGTTTTGGACTGACATGCATCCTAAACAAACAAAGAGCAACGATGCCATAAACTCTACCACACATGGTCTAAAAAATCTATCGTAACATCCCACATTATTTTCATTCGTGTTGTGGTCTTCTTCTTCAAACATTTTACTCTTTTGTATTCCATGCTCTACTGTTTCTTCAAAAATTTTACTTTTTCGAATTCCATTCTCTACTGTCTCGTCAAAAATGTTACTCTTATGCATTCCATTCTCTATTGTTTCGTCAAAAATTTTACTCTTATGCATTCCATTCTCTACTGTTTCTTTTAACAGGTTAGTGTCTGAATCTTCTGACTCACTGAAATTTGAATTCAATTTGAATTACTTAAGTGTTAGGCCTAGTTAGTTTATACATATAGGGCTAGGCAGAAGTGTTTGAGAAGTGTGGAAACTTATATCTGTCCCAAACAGCTCCATTTTATATCACACGAAATAAAGAGCAAGGACGGGACGTATACTAGGCCTAGCGCTAATTACCATATAACCATAAGTTAAAATGTATCCACATCGAGCTTCTTGGAACTCGTGGATTTATGGCCTTCGTGATACGACTATTGTTGTAGTAGGCCTAATGTCATTACTGGGCTTGCAGCAATCTTATAACAATCAAGCCCCAACCAGCCCCCAATCGCAGACGGAGTGGACTGCCAAGTGGACAGTCGATGATTATGATTAGTGCCGATGAAGATGGAGATGGATTGCGATGATTTTGGCCTTAGACTCATTCTCATTTTCATCTCCAAATATATGATCAATGTTATTTTATAATTTGGTTCCAGGGTTACACTTATGCCGTAACCTTAAATAAATACAGTTCTTGAAATTACTAAATACCTACCTTACAGCGATACTCATGATGATTTTTGAGAGAAAAAAATATCTTTTTTTCTTCTAAAAAGCATTAAACCGGAAACAGTTTTAACGTTGTCAACGGTTCGACGTCACAATGCATATGACGTCATATACTTAATCGTGGTTTAAAAACGTTTCTTCCCAGAGCACGAACGAGCCTTAACTAGGCGTAAACATAGAAATATGGGCTATGCCAAACACGTTTGATGTAAAAATGCTAAGCTATTGTTTGTATTAATAATGTGAGAAAATGGGCCAGCAGTAGAGGATAATGTAATTAACCAATCAAAACAGTAGTTGCTATGGTGAGAGCCAATCGGATGATGCATGATTTGTGTGGTTTTCTGCGTTCCATCTGTGACAAGCTAGGCCAAGCTTTCGATTTTTCCCTCGAAGTTTGTTACCCAAGCTTAGTGTCTCATAAGCCAATCTGGCCGGGCAGCATTACTTTTATCTTGTTATATTTGTATATTTATATGTTCTATGCTGTGTGACACTTTAATAAATAAATCATTATTATTATTACTTAAAGTCTTAATTCCATAAAAAAATTTTTTTAAGTCACTAAGAACCAGATACGTGCATTTTCGGGCAGAGACGTATTCTGGCAAAGGGGTGCAACTTGTATCTTAAATCTAATATATATTTGATGTCTTTTTTGAGAAAAAAATAGACTTGAATCGGATGTTACAAGAAATATCCCTTAATTTAACATGAAAGGTTATTTGTTTCAAGATGTAAAATCCTCTTGTACAAAAATCAGAAATATTATTTTCTAAATTTATGACATATTTTAAAAACATCATGACAATACTGTTAGTAATCATAGCAAAATATTACAATCTGATAAAATGAAAATTTGGATGTATCCATGATCTGACAAAATTGTTATGCATGTCATGTTCTAGGTCTTAAACCAATCAATTGCTGTAACCAAATCAAGTAATGTAAGGAATCCTGGGATATTCTTGTTAAACATTGACTTACAATGCAATTGGGCAAAGTTCTACTGAACATGAATTAAAGAAAAATTTGTCAGATCAAGGACAAGTGTAGTAACTACATACATCTAAATTTTAAGGAATAAAAATTAATAAAAATTAATAAAAATTAATGAAAATTAAAAGAATAAAAATAAAATAAAATGTATTATAGGTTAAGATATATGCTTAATAACATAAGATAAAAGTCTAAAAAAAAAATTGTTTTTTTGAGAATCCATACATTCATTCAATTTGGAAGATTCCAAAACAATTTAAATTGAAAAGAAAAAAATCATTCTCTCAACTCTACCAAATTACACAATACTCAACTAGGATAACAGCCTCTGTTCTTTTCAAATAAATTTTCAATATATTCTTGATGTAACTAATTCTTAACATGCAAATTAACAGATTAACTGTAATTAAAGAAATGTAGAGAGATTTTCTTATCTTTTATGTACATCAGGGACAATGATTACATTAATTTGCACCATTCCAATTTTACAGTCTGATATTTATGATACCTGCAATTCCACTAAAACTAAGCTATCACAAATATCATTGTGATATTATTAGTAGCATTTGCGATAATGACATATAAGGTTAAGAATTTCTATAATTGCAGGAACTACCTGATGGAAAAGTATTATAATACAAAAAGAAGCCATAAAAAGGCTAAAATTTCTCGAAATAGCTATGGTGTGGTATTTAAAAGGTACTCGTGATATTTAAAAGATGCTCTTGAATTTATTACATATAGTACCGTTTTTAAATGGTGCTCTTGAATTCATGAGATATGGTATGGTTTTTAAAAGGTGCTCTTGAATTCATGAGATATGGTATGGTATTTAAAAGAAGCTGTTGAATTCATGAGCTATTGTATGGTTTTTAAAAAGTGCTCTTGAATTCATGAGCTATGGTTTTTAAAAGGTTCTCTTGAATTCATGAGCTATGACATAGTATTTAAAGGCGCTCTTGAATTCAAGCAATAAAAACAGTATTTTAAAGCACAATCACTTTTTAAATTCTGTCATCAACGTCTCCACTAATTATAAATCATTAAAATAATCAGACATGCAATCAACATTTTAATCTCGTGCCATACTCTACGATTTGTTTAACTAGCACTAAGCATTACAGCTCTCAAAACAAAAATTCTTTCGAAATGTCGAGTTTTCTTTGTGTTGGGAACTATCAAATAGTTTGCGTGTGGTATCTGTTTTAATAGACAAAGTGTTAATTTGCGGTGTATTGGAACGTTCTTTAAATGGAGATCGTTTCTGTGGTGACTGTTTGACTGGGGATGATTCGTGACAACTACGACATACTGCTAAGTATTTATCAGCACCACCTATCACTTCTACCTGTAATATAATATAAATCTTAACTTAACACTTAATGGAATGCTACCTCTTAGAATGAACATAATTTCTAAATTCTCAAACTTGTCTAAGAAGTTTATATACTCATCACTGGAATTACCTGGTGTCATAACTATACAACAGAATCCCTGTATAATCATCCTATAAATCACCTAGACCTTTCACATTCCCAAAATTTGTTTCATCCACATTTCCAGCATGTAATAAAGTGAGGTGCTCTCTCAATTTCAAATAAATTCTTCTCCTACAGTAGTTGGCCACATCCCTGATACCCTAGTCCCACACTTCTAGGGGGTGAAAACACCCCAGGTTGGGAACTAGGGCTATAATTCAACAAAAATGTAATGAAAAAGCTCTGGGGGTGGATAGCTTGGACATTTTCAGGCTGTGGGTAACATTTTTACAAGCAAGAAGTTGTGTTTTGGGGTGAATTTTGATGTTGTTCAGGAAACTAGAATGCATCAAACATGAAAAAAAATCCTGGCCTTCAAGAGTTGTCTCCCATATAAACTGAAGGGCAAAGGCCTTGACAAGGAAAAATACTTACAGCTGTTTCATTGCTCTTTCTCTTAGTAAAGTAGGCTTCATTATAACACATCATACAAACTGCTGATAATTTAATTATATGTTCTGCTAAAGGTACTAATTCTAAGGTGTTACCAAATCCCTAAAAAAGACATAAGACATCTAAAAAGTTGCTTTACTGATAAAAACCAATTTTAGCAGTACTCTTCAGAATCAAAATTTGATGTCCAGTTTTCCTGCACGTCAACAAAAACAGAATGTGTCAAATTAGACTGAAGACACTTTAAAATGGTCCTGATGGACCTCAGTAGGGGCAAAAAACAAATTAGTCGGCAAAAAACAAATTAGTGACACCTACAAAAATTCAAATACAGATGCAATAGTACAAATTACTAATGAAATAAGTGAGAAAATTCTGTTGATCTAACTTTAACTTGCTTGATGACAAATTAACGATTTGGGGCATTATTTGTTTTTGCAGTGATGATTTTAGGGTATCAAAAGTATCCATTTTTTCTCTGACAACCTAGCACTACTGCTTGAAAGTGTGGTGAAATTCGCAGGTATGATAATCGATGATATGCTTGTTAACCTGTTTTTGAAAGGTACCATCTAATGCTGCAACTATGACTGTTTTACCAGCATTGGCCATCTCATTACAGAATTTTACTACATCAGGAAACTGTAAAACAATCAAGATAGAATTCTAAGCAAAGCATTAAGGTTCAGTTTGTTATAGTCAAAAATTACCAGTAAATTCAATGGTAATTCATGTCCAACTCATGTAATGGGAATATTTTACCTGGACAACAGCAAAAGATTACCCATTTTCAGTTTTAGTCTATTGTGGAATCGGACTATAGCATGACTGGCCTTCATCTATTGTTTTTTCGAAAGGACTAGTTAGCACTTTTTCAATATCAGCCTTTCTTACTTACATTATCTGGTACTACCTCAAATCATGTGGAAACCATATTGTAAACCACAAGCCTACTCTAATCTAAATCTGAAAACACTTACAAATTGGCCTTCATCAATACCAATGACTTCAAATTGTTGAGCTTTAGATTTTAAATCATATAGTTTTTCAGTTGATACAGCTGGTAAAGTTTGTCTGTAAAAACATCAAAAATGACCAAATAAATTTAACACTCTTCAATTAGAAGGAAATATATTATATGTCAGGATCAAAGGTGCTGTCTCAACCTATGTCAGGATCAAAGGTGCTATCTCATCATGTCAGGATCAAAGGTGCTATCTCAACATGTCAGGATCAACGGTGCTGTCTCAACCTATGTCAGGATCAAAGGTGTTATCTCAACATGTCAGGATCAAAGGTGCTATCTCAACCTATGTCAGGATCAAAGGTGCTATCTCAACCTATGTCAGGATCAAAGGTGCTATCTCAACCTATGTCAGGATCAAAGGTGCTATCTCAACCTATGTCAGGATCAAAGGTGCTATCTCAACCCATGTCAGGATCAAAGGTGCTATCTCAACCTATGCCAGGATCAAAGGTGCTATCTCAACATGTCAAGATCAAAGGTGCTATCTCAACCTATATGCTAATACCAAAGGTGCTATCTCAACCCATATGCTAATAACAAAGGTGCTATCTCAACCTATATCAGGATCAAAGATGTTTTCTCAACCTATGTCAGGATCAAAGGTGCTATCTCATCCTATATGCTAATACCAATCACACCATAACAGGATCTCTAATTCTTAACTAATTAACATTAACTTAACACATTGATCAGGCAATTATAAGATATACCATCTGGTAAGTCTATCCTACCTGTCATGTGTAGCTATATCATTGTCGTCATATCTTGTATCTTTAGAATATTTAATAACTAAAACATTGTAATTGGCTATCTGATATCTCTTTAATCTTCTTACTAATTCAGTCCTACAATTTCAACCAAAAAGAAATATCAGACTCTGAACTTTTAAACAATAGGCTTAGTTATTTTTGATAAATGTTCACCAGTCAAAAGATTATTATTAAATAATATTAGAGATGGATTCAAAATTATTTTAATCATGTAAAGTTTAAGAAACATTAGTTTGTCCGCTTAATGGAATGGCTTTCAATATTTATCAGTATGATTTTTTTAATATAAAAACACACGTGACCTTTCAGAGAAGAAATTTGAATTTAAATTTGAAAACAAATAGCATAGCAAGATTGAAGATACTTACGTTTTTCCCGAGAACATGGGACCAAATATGATCTAAAAAGTAGAGGAGAACGATTCAATATAATAGGCAATTAGGTAATCTGTCCTGGCTAATCATTATGAAGCCCTTACGCCATTAAAATAACTCATCCTGGATTTTTGTTGCATTAATCAACAACAGCCGAACAGGACACAAAGCATAGCTGAATGTTTATTTCTCTTTTCGTCTAATAATTTATTAATATTCAAGTTAAATCAATGAAATAAAATTTACCTGAATTTCTCCTTTTTTAACTTTTCCCATTGAGGAACAAATGATATTTTTGTTTGCTGGTGCTATATTGGACATTTTTAAAGTTTTTTAAATAGATCTTCAAGCTAACAAATTTATCCTGCTATGATCGTTTACTTTATATTTACCGCGCGAAATTCCCGCACAACTTTTCGCGGAATTTTCTTAATGATAAAATTCTAATATTTTAAATATTTTGATTATTAGCACTTTATGCTTTGATCAATTTGTTTTATTTTGGTTTACTAAAACTGGATAATTATCAGGTATCAGAAGTCATGGATTCAAAATATAGTTTCTAAAATAGGTCCCGAAATTCCCAGCATTCACTGTTAAATTTCCATAACAACCAAGATGGCCGACGGAAAGGTGAAAAAAATAATTTTAGTAACATTTTCGTTTGTTTACTGCATTAGTTAGTCTGTGTCAAGTGTTTCAAAATATACTATTGTTTGAAGGAATCATAACTGCCGAAATATGGTTTGATATTGTTTTGAAATTTAGCCATTTGTATTTTGATTATGATATATAATCGCCTATCAGAATGAAAATGTTAAAAATAGTTAAAATTGTTTTCCCCTGGCTATTTGAAATTTCTCATATAAGAAAACGCTCCCCTCAGGCTACACTAGAACTAGGCTTATCAGTATCACTTAGACTATCACCAGTGGGCCTAGTCTTATATGTAGATATAGTTTGTCAATCTAATTATTATTTAGGAGACCTGGACATCGTAATTACTCGTTTTCGGTAAATTATTGGGTATTGGGTATTATTGGCTATATTTAGCTTAAGAGTGCAACTGCCTTTTTTTATTAGGGTATCTGCCAAAGACCTGGTTCTTGTTAGTTTAGGCTTAGTGTTAGGAACAGTTCTTTACCGTGTTCAACAAACTATATGTATGTAACATAGACAATTTATGTCAAATTATGAGTGCCCTAACTCTATCCTGTTACCTGTGTCTCCTTTTTTTTATACCAGCTTTAATTCAACATTTTCAACTGCTTTTCAAACTTGGACATTTTAGTCATTTACTGAAAATTTTGAGTCATTGATTTGTGTTTTAGGAAGAAGAAACAAAGGCTGTAGAAGAAGTTAGTGAAACTAAAGAAGAAACTAAAGAAGATCAGCCGACTGAGATTGAAGCTGCAGAAACACCTAAAGATGCATCAGAGAAAACACAAGGTTTGAATCTTGCTTAGTTATCTTTAAATTGTAAGACTAGCCTCTATGTTATGTTTTACAGATATAATATATAAAAATCTGTGAAATGCACTATATAATTGATTATTGGTACTACAGGATGAATTCTAGTAATATTATTCTGGTATTGGAAAAAATCTTTCACATTCTACCAAGGTTTTTCGAATTTCAGCCTATCTTCAGACTTTGTTTCCTAGATATATATGAAGCGATCGATTGTACCATGCTTATTGACCTCTGTGCAAACAGCTTTCATTTGCATTGTGCTGGTCTTCAATGCTGCTTGGAGCACCAAGGCATCCTTGTATTCTCATAATTCGCAAACCAATTTTTCTTATCAGTGTTTCAATTAATTTAGAAATGCATTTTTCAGATGAACCAGCTGAAGGTACACAGGAAGAATCTCCTAAAGTAACTGAAGAAGAGACATCAGCTCAAGGTGAGGATCAAACCACTGAGACACCCAATGTTGGTAACAATGCTAATGATGATGTTGTCAAATCCAATGATAATGATAATGTTACTGATATTGTTGTCAATGATCTTGCTGAAAATGCCAATGATAATGCCCAGAATATTGGTGATGTAAGTGATAATGCCCAAAATGTCAATGATAATACTGATGTCAATGATATTGCCCAAAATGTCAATAATGAGAACAAGGAAGCTGATGATAACACTGTAAAAGAAGGCAGTGCAGAAAGTGGAATACCAGAAGTTGATCAACCAGAAGGCACAACTTTGACCGACACTGGTGGTGATGACCAGAAACAACCAGAAGGTAACAGTGGTAGAGCTGTCTGCCGTAGTGTGTAACCCTACTTTGCTTCTATTATATAACAGCTTTTAAACTTTCCTGTAGATTCTCTCTTTATATAAACATTTTATATTTAAGCTTGTATATTGTAATCTTGCCTTATAATTTTAATTTTTACAATTGTGGATCAGTGAGATAAATACATCTTAGAGTTGAAGAATGTCTTTTAGATCTTCTGTTTTTCTGTTCTGATTTCGTTTGTCCAGGATGCACCTAGGATGCGATGAAAATTATTGTCTGTCTTAACAAAGGCATACTTCATATTATCCACAGTAGAATATGAAATCACTCTTGTAAATCTTATTCAGTGAGTTTTCTCCCCTTTCAATAACTGTTATCCTGATGAAGATTTTATATCTGAAACTGTGACAAAGAGTTTAAAGCATATACACATTAAGGTTGCTTGAGTTCTGAAACTTATTTTAAGCTTTGGTCAGATTTTAGAGAAATTTGGTAGGTTATTGTTCCTTGCTTAGAAAAGAATTCAACATGAATGGGCAACCCTATATTATATGTATTAGATTGTGTATTCACATAAATGTATATAATACGCTTTTATGTAAGAAATCCCTATATACTATGGTGTAATTTAAAGCATGTTTTGAATATTGTAATGAGTATAGTTACTATAGATATCCTCTGTAGAAATATCAAAATATTTATAAAAATGATTAGTTAGATGTATATCAAAAACAAGAAATTTTCAATTTCTGTATATATCTTGCTTCTAAATAAATTAGTTGCTGATTTTATAATCTTAGTTAACTTTTCATCAATCTAATTAATTGTCTTTTCATAAATAATCATTGATTTCGAATTTTTTAAACATAAAGCTTTTATGTCTTTATCTATCTGAATGCATTTTTTTTACTTAAAATCTTACATCATATAAATGACATCAAATTGGTTCAAGTTTATCTTCCAATGATATTTCTTTTGATTATATTTTAAAGTCTCTTGCACTCCTTGTATTTGAAATGACATCAAAGGAATTAGGAATTCTTTGGCATGTTACTTTGGAGAGTCCTAAACTCATTTTGAATAACTTAATATTCACTGTTTTTGCCCTCACCTAATATTAAACAAACAGTAAATTACAATAATCTTATTTTCAATAAAGAGCCTGAAGCTGCCAAGGAACAAACAGAGGCACCTGATGAAGCTGGGGAGAAAGTTGAAGGGGAGGGCGCTGCTGTTGTAGAGTCTGGAGAAGTAAAAGAAGATCAAAATGCTGAAAAGGTTGAAGGAGATGAGACACCACAAGCTGAAGAAAAGCCTAGTTCAGAAAAAGGAGAATCTCCTGAAGAAGGTGCAGCACCAGCTGGTGATGGTGAAACACCAGCAGGTGATGGTGAAACACCAGCTGGTGATAATACAACACCAGCAGGTGATGGTGAAACACCAGCTGGTGATGGTGAAACACCAGGTGTAGAGAGTCAACCTCTATCAGGTGAAGAACAGTCACCATCTGGTGAACAAGCTGAAGATTCCACAAAATCACCAATACCTCAGGTAATTTGATAAAGGATTTATTAGCCATATTTGTCATTTTCAAACTCTGTTACTGACAACTCATGTAATTTCCTGGCAGACATGCTTTTTTCTTTTCCAACAAACCTAGTATAAGTTTGTTTCAGTTTGAAAATATCCCAAACTTTCGTTTTGTTTTTTCTATTAGCTTCTATTTTTAATATATAGCCACTTCAGTTAGGGTCTAATGACAGCCCTCTTGAATGTTCGTCTGACCTTACCTGTTTAACACTGTGTCACAAATGCCAGAGCTGGTGAGTGTAGAAATTTCTTTGGTTAAAGCAGACGTCATTTAGTTAGGTCAAATTTCAAGAGAGCTGTCATAATGCCCTAACTGAAGTGGCTATATGTTAAAAGTAGGAAGCTAATAAAAGACCGAAACGAAAGTTTGGTCTAATTTCAAGACACTGAAGTGTTAGTCTTTTTCTCTGGAACATCATCTTTAAATATTTATTCTTTCAGAGTGATACATTTACAGAAGGTGACAGAGCAGAAAGTCCTGTACCTCAGACAGTCGGAGAGAAGTTATCTCGTGGTCCCACACCAGCTTTAGATGATATGTCCAGAGAAGATACACAGACTGAAATGTTAGAACCAGGAACTCCAGAGAGACCAGGTGAGATTCAGGAGACTAGAAAAAAGCTAAAGCAGGCTACTTGAAACTGTTTTCATTCACATTTTTCTTAAGGTATCTTTGGTATTGCCTTTAAGGTTCTATAGCTCACAGTCAGTCAGAGCGTTTGTTCTTTGATTTAATTTGCTTGGTACCTATATCGATTAGCATTAGAAAGTCCAATGATCATGAAGTCATCTTCGCTCATAATGGTTAGGTTTTCTGATAATCCAGGGAAGATCAATGCCAAGAGGTTTGTCCAAAGACATGCTGGCAGAAAGGTTCCTTAATTGTGTAACTAAGTTGTTATCCTTGTAAAATATACTTTACCAAGTGGGATGTGAAGTTTGATCGTTTTTTATTCAGCACATGTGTGACATTATTCATGACATCACACAATGTTAAGATGTGTACATTTCAAATACTAAATCACATTTTATATTCAATATCATTTTCAATGGCATAATAGACCTGCCATAAATTAGAGTGGTAAATTATTGATAGGGATGCAAAAGTGGTATTCAAGCGTATATATGATAAGTATATGAGACACTTATAGCCCTAATTAACCCATTTAAATTTCTATTCAAACTGTGGTTCAACAAGTATGTTTTCTCACACTTGCCAGGTACTCCAGTAGAAGGTGAAACTCAACAGGATGTTCAAAATGAAGCAGACGAAGAAAAAACACCAGAGCCTCAGTTTGATAGAGAGGCTTTAATAGAGAAATATAATGTAAGAATTTTACTTTTCAATGCTTTTCACATGAAGCCTGTTCAACAATGTGGGTTATTTGATATTTAGGGGCAATGAATAACAACGCCTGATAATTTATAAATATTAAAAGATAAGAGCATAGGCATTATGGTTTTGGTGCAAAAATTTAATTATGTAGAAAATATCTCTCTGTTAGCTCATACTGAAATTCCATCTTAGGCTACTATAGTAGTTAACAGTCTATTTCAAATGTTTATTTGACCTGGCTTTTCTGCAGCCTACTTCTTGTTAGAAAATGTTTTAAAAAAAAGTCTGGAAAATCATGACTAAATCCTCATATTACCAGTTGTTTTCTATATAAGTTCATTTCAGTTATTAACGCACATTGTTTGATTGTAGGCAGCTTTGGCCGAACGTGAACAATTGAAACAGCAGAATTATCAACTTCAACACAAGCTTGCTGAATATTTCCGTAAGAAGAAATCTGATGACAGAACAGATTATGATAAAAACGTCACTGATCAAGAACAGAGATATCTCAAATATATGGGTAAGTGCTAAGAAATTTTTTTTTTTTTTTTTTTTTTTTTAAGAGGGTTGGGTGTTGCATTAAATTCAACTGTTGTCTAAAATTGTTTAATATGTTTTGGAGTTATTCCCTTTATATACAAGCTAAAGTAATGTATAGTGACATAAAACTACAGTATAGAGCACATCAGCGGATAATCCCAACAAACATACCGGTAAACACACTTAACACTAGCTTAAAGATTCAATTACTTTTGAATCTTCCTTGAATTCAAACTATTCACTATTGAAACAGTCCGCATTCATGCAAGTATCTAAGCTTCACTTTTCTATTGATCTTAAAATCTTCGGGAATTTAAACAAAATTAGATTATGTTGAAGAGCTAACTTTATCTAATCATATAGGTTCATATCTCAATAATGACATCACAACTCAAATATGTCTAAGAAAATTTTAAATTTTGAGTTCAAAATGAGTGTGTTACTATGCAAGACATTCTCTATTTCATTCTTTCTGGAACACTTGATGATGTATGTGACTGGGTTTGTCAACATTGCTGCAGAGGGTCCACACATCTGCTACCTTTATTGCATTTCTTTTTCTAAAAGCCCAAAGACTACTGAATATAATAACATTGCATTTACCTACAGATCAATTACAAGAATTACAGAAACTAGCTAAAAGAGAGAAAGAAACATATAAACTACAAATTAATGATCTGGAAGATAAATGCAAGGAGAGAAAGAAGAAAGTAGATGAAGAAAGAAATAAATTTACAGAATTTAAACAAGTTGTAGCATTGAATTCCTTGAATAGTCGATCTGGAAAACCAATTCCACCCAAGGTTTGTACTTTTTACGATTTTCTAATCAAGAAAGAAACAAACAACCATTTTTACAACTTAGGTTGTTCTAACCAAAAGGTCCTTGGTATTGATCTTTCCCACATTGTCTGAATTCATATACAATTAGGAAAAAAACCATTCAAGATCACCAGACCTTCACATGTTGGCCAAGATTAGAACCCATGACCATCATTTGTTCCAACTGTGCTTCTCTTTCTTCCCATAGTGCTAGTATTTTATTAAATGGATTCAATGGTATTTATGATAGTGAAATCATATTCAGGAAACTACAATTATGGGAGAGTAATAGTGCAAATAGAGGGAAGAACAGATTCCCTGACATAGTATGCATTAGTTGAGATCTCTGTAAAAGGAAAAATAATTTCCTTAGCAACCATATATGATATATTAATGTTAACAATGTTCTATTCCTTGAGAATTTTTTTCGTTTATCATTTGAATTATTTTTTTTGACTATATAAGAGGTTTGATTTATTGATTTCTATTGAGATCTATTGTTATTGAGATCTCAATGTGAGTGACCTAGCTATTGACCTTATAATCTCAAGGATATCTCAGGCCATCTCATTCTCCAAAATTTTAGATTATTTTATGCTATAATCATTACGTTTGAATAGTGGCCAACTGGGTAGTTATAAGTTGAAACATAATCAGTACACATCTCGAAAAATCAATCTGGACACAAAATATTATGAGCTCCAGAGATGAATGCTTAATAATTATATCACACGAGTCCATTATTGAGATTGGTTGTCCAACATTGACTCGTCAAGAGTCCAGAACTTGATGTAAGTTTACCAACCTGAGTTAGAAAACACAACACAACATTTTAAATGTCATTTACCACTTCGGAATACATATTTTGCATATAATAAATACAGCATTAATTTTCTAGTCATCTGGTCAATCAGTTTTATTACCCAATCAGATTACTGTATATGTATAAACTTATAAATAACAATTTCTATTTTCCTAGGACATGGGGAAATTTTATCTGGTATCTTTGTAATGTAGAATTTCTATTTTTCTAGTTTATAGAACATGATTTAATGTAAATTTCTATTTTTATTGGATATAAAATATTATTTGATCTTGATTCTATTTTTCTAGGGTATTTTTTCTTGTCCAGGATCTTGACCAATAAGCTTACTTAATCCAAGATTTCTTTTTTAGGATACAGAACACAACATAATCCGAAAGTTTTATCTTTCTAAGATATAGAGCAATATTTAATCTAGAATTTCTATTTGTCTAGGATATAGAACAATATATAATCTAGTATTTCTATTTGTCTAGGATATAGAACAATATATAATCTAGAATTTATATTTGTCTAGGATATTGAAAAATATTTTATCTAGATTCTGTATAACAATATATAATCTAGTATTTCTATTTGTCTAGGATATAGAACAATATATAATCTAGTATTTCTATTTGTCTAGGATATAGAACAATATATGATCTAGTATTTCTATTTGGTTAGGATATAGAACAATATATAATCTAGTATTTCTATTTGTCTAGGATATAGAACAATATATAATCTAGAATTTATATTTGTCTAGGATATTGAAAAATATTTTATCTAGATTCTGTATAACAATATATAATCTAGTATTTCTATTTGTCTAGGATATAGAACAATATATAATCTAGTATTTCTATTTGTCTAGGATATAGAACAATATATGATCTAGTATTTCTATTTGTCTAGGATATAGAACAATATATAATCTAGTATTTCTATTTGTCTAGGATATAGAACAATATATGATCTAGTATTTCTATTTGGTTAGGATATAGAACAATATATAATCTAGAATTTCTATTTGTCTAGGATATAGAACAATATATGATCTAGTATTTCTATTTGTCTAGGATATAGAACAATATATGATCTAGTATTTCTATTTGGTTAGGATATAGAACAATATATAATCTAGTATTTCTATTTGTCTAGGATAGAGAACAATATATAATCTAGTATTTCTATTTGTCTAGGATATAGAACAATATATGATCTAGTATTTCTATTTGTCTAGGATATAGAACAATATATGATCTAGTATTTCTATTTGTCTAGGATATTGAAAAATATATAATCTAGTATTTCTATTTGTCTAGGATATAGAACAATATATGATCTAGTATTTCTATTTGTCTAGGATATAGAACAATATATAATTTAGTATTTCTATTTGTCTAGGATATAGAACAATATATAATCTAGTATTTCTATTTGTCTAGGATATAGAACAATATATGATCTAGTATTTCTATTTGTCTAGGATATAGAACAATATATAATCTGGTATTTCTATTTGTCTGGGATATAGAACATTATTTAATCTAGAATTTCTATTTATCAAGGATATATAGCAATATATAATCTAGTATTTCTATTTGTCTAGGATATAGAACAATATTTAATCAATGAAGAAAAGAAAGAAAATGAAGTGGTCAATGTGAGATTAGAAAATATCAAATCTAAAAACAAATTGAAGAAAAAGGAACAACAACTTAAATCTAAGGCAAGAAATCATTTTCTATAAAACATTCTGTTCACATATTTATTTCAAAAGGGTGTTTTCTACTTTTCTCTGAAATCACAAATTTTTGGGGTCACTGACCATAGATGACCTAGAAAATTTGAGAGATATTACTTTTTTTTAAAAAGATTTCTTGGAAATCATTCATTTTGATTAACCAATGAAATAAGAGATTTTGGAGCATCTGGATTTTATCTGTTTTTTTCCCGGGGAGAATGTTTTGAATATTGAGGGGGTAATACTATTGTCATTGTCAAAAAACCTTTCAAAGAAACTTTACAATCTCAATATGGCCAACTTGAAAAGAATCTGATAAACATATAGTTTCTAGAAAGCAACATCTGCAAACTTTTCTGAATAAATCAAAGAACGTGTATGTAATGAAATGGAGATGAAATCAACTTACATGAAATTTTCCGTGAATTGTGACCTTCAGTTTTTTAAATCGGCTTTTAACAAAAAATAAAAGTTATCTTAAAAAGCTAAGTAGTTTAGATGACAAGAGTTGAATAGAGTCTTTCTAAAAAGCAGGAATGTATTTGCTTTTATCTTCCAAAACTCCAAATTTTGGTGATAAGGTTTTCCATGCTCACCTAAGAAAGAATACCAAATAATATGTGAAGTCTACTTTGCTTCTAAGGAGAATAAGTGATAATTGAAAGTTTAAAGTGATTTTCAAATCAACCAATCAACTTGCTTGAACATAGCCATTTTATATTTTGTTTTGTACATATGAACACACACTCAAAACTCTTGAATAACATACAGGCAACCACCTAGCCTATAAAAGTCATTTTGATTGGTTGTCTCATACAAAGCTATTTCGATAAAGTGAACCATGGTTGAAATCTTGATCATGTATAAAACATTTGTAATAATGATTACAGGAAGAATTAGCTGAAGGTTTACATCTGATTGATTTTGAACAACTGAAAATAGAAAACCAGACGTATAATGAAAAGATAGAAGAAAGAAATGAGGTTAGTGTTGGATATGTAGCCAGCCCTGTCGACAGAAATGAATTGGTGCTGGGGCTCAGATTTTGTACTCAGAAAATTTGAAGAATTGAAAACCCAATGAACTCATTTCTGACAATTTTGTGATGCCAAAAATGTATTAAAATCTATCTCCTTTTGATTTTGTACAAAGACACTGAAAATGAATCAGTCTCTGTTGAACTGAAGAAGGTTTTGCTAGGGCTTAATTCTCATTTGCTGGGGCCCAGCCCCCATAGACCCCACCCTAACGACCCACCCACCCTATCTTTTATACTCCTAAAAGGGAGAGTGTGAAAAATCTAAGTTTAGTTAAGTTTAATTTTGTAAGTTACACCTGAAAATATTTTTAAAATTATATGCTATAGCTATGTATGTACTTGATCAAACTGACATTGTTTTAAAAGGGTTAAACTAGTTTTGGTTTTGGGCCTCATAAAGACTTCTGTAGCTAAACATTCTTTGTATCTACTTGACATATTACTGGCATCAAATACCTTTAAAGTACATTAAAGACTTCTGATATAGGCCTGCAATTAATGTTTTATAAGCTTATGTTAAACTCTAAACACCCACATTCCTTTTATGTTTAAAATGCACTGTCAGCAATTTTTCAATCAATATGATTTTAGTTTCTTTATAATTCACTCAATATTCTACTTTCTTTTTCACTTCAATTCCATGAAATTGCTGATACTACAACTTATTTCCAAGAAAATAAAGACAACTTTGAAATGGAGAATCTAATTTCTCTTTTAAATCTCAACCTATACATGCAAATTCCTTCCATTTGTCCGACAAAAACAAGCCCTGATTTTATTGAAAATTGAAATATGTAGATTATGAAGTCAATTAAAAAATATTTCTTCAGTTAAACTGTTTTTTCTGTAAATTGCTGGAAATTTTGGTTTTTCCATCATTGAACTAGATTTCTGTCTTTAAGACAGGGTCTAAAGCAGCAAATATCAGAGGGCAGCAGGCATTCGAAAGGAGCAGCACTGGAACAGATGTCAATGAGGACAAGAGTGCTCAAGGCAGCTTTCCATCTCATGCTGATTCCGGTTCCAATTTATATTAATTGATTTTGAACTTTTCTTGAGTATGCCTTGAATTTCCGACATCCTGACTGGCATTGATACTCTGGTGTCTTGCAGGAATTTAGAATGTTATGGTCCCAATGCTGTGCCTGGAAGTGTGAATCCATTTTTTTCCTGTTGTATATTATAGGAACTGTTAAAATTAAGAAAGAAAATCACCAGTACTGTTCAAGTTTTAACACATTTAAAAGAAAAATTACAATTTGTCCAAGCTGAAAATCAAGTCCAGAAGAAAAATTTAAATGATGTTGAAGCCTTGGTTGGTCAGGTTAGTATGATTAGTTATCAAATCTTTAAGAGTTACTTCCCTTTCTGAGCTCTTATGCCTTGAAGTATAATCAGACACATAGATATGTTTTATCTGAAATTACCTTTTATAAATAGTTCATTCTGATTGTGGTGTAAAAAAAGGCTAGTAATTAATTTGCAAAGATGAGAGGCCAATTGAACGAAATTCTAACTTAAGATGATTTTAGTGATCTGGTAAACTAATTGGTAATGCAATATTTCAAACCAATTTTTAAGTTAATATTGTTAAGCAACAAAATTGCTGTTTTGCTTCAAATCTGGGTTTTTTGGGGTTTTTTTTAAATTTGTGAAATAGGGCCCTAACGTACATGGTATCCATTTATTAATAATCTTTGTTCAGTAAACTGTAAATAGCAAAACCAACCTATGAAATTTTTCTTTCATTTCAGAAAAGAGATATTTTATCCAGAACCAAACAAGCCAGAGACTCTTTAAGAATTGATAATCATAAATTACGGCAAAACTGTGGATTGCTGGGTAACGAACCATTATTACGAGACTTTGAAGAAAGAAAAGATGAAGGTGATGACCTCAAAATAAAATTAGAAGAATTGCGCTCAATTCATGCGGAATTGGCTCTGAATTGTAATCAAGTTAGAAGAAAAATTGAACAAGCTAGAATGGGACAAGTTTAATGGAAAATATTGCTTTTAAACCTTTTTCAGTCATGATAATTTTAATCTTGTCAAATGGATTCCTATTTTGGATAATTGTTTGGGATGAAAAATGTAGAAATCAGCCTCTGATAGTAATTTTTGATAGATGTAAGCCAGCTTTAGTCAGAAAAATATGAGAGGGCAGAGATTGCATTAAAAAAAAATCTCACTATGGCTCATTTTTCTGACTCCAATTATCTGAGATCTGTCAAATATATCTGAGGCCAGACATAAAGAAGATGTAAAATGAGAAACCATAATAGTTTTTAATGACTATATATATAATTCATTGGGTCTTGCATGCATAGACACAATATTCCTAAATTTTCATTATTTTGGGACCTTAAAATTCCAGATTTTTGCAACTGCTGCCCAAAAACACTTTGTTTGAGAGATCTCTAGTTCTTCCACTCAGGCCCCAACATTTCCCACATCTTTTTTGTTACATTTCTGTTTTTCATTTTCACGATAAATTAACAAGAAAGCATAATGTTACCAACAATAAAGCAATAATATATCTGTGATTGAAAATGCAGCATTATTTGAAATATTTATTCTGTATATTGTTAACTTTCTGTTAAGTTAACTGTGATAATAAAGTATTGAAAAATGATCATTATACTTTTAAACTTTTTATTTACACGTCTCATGCTTCTGATAACTTCATATGTTATACTACCAATAAAAATGTTACAAGGTCTTGAAAGTGTCGGGAGTCAAAAATCCATTGGTCATTTTTTTTTTATTGCGGTAGAACTATGTGCCCAAATTTAGACAAATGACATGACGAGCTCCGTGCATGTATGGTATTGCGTAACTCTTTGTGCCTTGTAACAGTCTGTTAGAGCGGAATGACGTCATTTGGTTCTCGTTGGTGTCGTTGGTTCTAATATTGATCGACGTGCGAGTGCCTGATGACCTTGAACTAGTCATCGTTCCTCATTATTCAAGTCCACCCAGCTGTAATGGGTACGGTAATCCAGAAAAGATCAATGCAAGGAGGTTTCGTCGAGGACCAACTGGCCATTATCCCTGTAATAAATGATTGTTTCTCATTGCTTCGGTCGGGAAGTATAAATTACCCTTGGATCATCTGCCAGTGCCTTATATTGAATAGTATCTTGTTACTCTTCAATCACCCTAACCTTGAATCATCTAGTATGCCTCGAATCTCGGTGACCCAAATGACCTTCGCAAGAAATAATTTGCTTCGTAATCGTATGTTATCTTGAGTAACCAATCAAAACCAGATGAGTAGCCAATAGACTCCAGGAAAAACTATAGTTGACAAAATTTCTAAGAATCCCAATGTACTCAGACATACCCAATGTTATAATTTTTCTCATTAAGACCTAACCTTTTTACAAGTTAAAGTATTGAACGATGCATCCTTATTCAACCACAAAAATCCGAGAAATCCAAGTCTAAATCCGTGCTTACTTACTTCATGGTTGACGAATTGACAGGATTAGGCTACAAGTGGTGGTACCGGCAACGGTTTAAACTGACGGAAGCATCATCCTATGATCTCTGGGTACGTTTTTAACTCGGCTTTAGCCATGGTTTTAGCCTTGAACAAACGGATTTGGAATTATTTCGCCGTAGGTACCCCTTTAAAGGGATAGAAGCGCCATTTTGTTGATTCTTGAATGTAAATGCAAATAGTCTTCAGAGGTACTAGAAATGCATGATGCCTTAATATCTCAAACTAGGAATTTTTTTTCTTATTATTATATGTGGCAGTGTCTCATGAAAAGACTATTTCGAACGCGGATAATTCCGGACACGCATGCATTGGCAGGCTCAAATTTTGACGGTGAACAGTGAACACTATTACAAATTGGCTTAGACTTTAGCTAAAAAAAATTCAAAAATAAAATGACGCATATCCCTTTAATGGATTGAATTCCTTTTTGTTGGGCAGTTCGTAGAATTCATAGAAATTGTTTTACTTTCGTTTTCCCTGAACACAGAAATGGAAGTTGTGATTCTGTTGAAGATTCCGGCACGCCGACTCTTGGCTCTATCATGGTAACATTAAACATGTCTTTTATTAATGTTTCTAATTTGCATGCTTTCTTCCAACCGAAAGCTATTTACGTGCATGTCATCCCATTGAGCCTATGATCATTTACAGAAGGGACGGAGATAGAAATTTTAAGATCTTATCCGATGCATACCCTACTCCGAACGAATCTCAGGCTTCCAGGTTGGCTCGGGAATATAAGGGGCATTTGTTCGCTAACGCAAAGGTCTGAAGGGTTCGATCTAGGCATATTTGGAGATAACACCATCGGATTTTTTTAACCATGTGATCCTCTTCCAATGTTGCTGAAACCATGCAAGGAGGGTGTGTGTGTATGAGGGTCTGTCATGGAATGAATTAATAATATGTCGTTCTGTTAGGGCAGGTTAATGAAGTGATGATCAGATTAGATGCTTTTAAGCCAAATTTCCCCTATTGCACACGTTGCTTGTCTTTATTTGCCTTATCATGAATAGTCTAGTGCGTAAACTACATTTTCATCTGATGGATATGTTTGATGTTTATATATAGCATATAGTCGATGTCTATCAGGGACTTTGACCACCAAGTTTCTGACAAAGATCGGCGTCCTTTCTTGCCTCATGCTTCTGCAATAAGCATGGCACATCATGTTTCAACAAAATCATATTCATATCCATATTATATCATGGTTAGCTAAGCGCATATCACTTAAGTCTCATCAAAACTATCAGGTTCAGCAAATTTTTACCTTCTTTGGACATAACTAAAAAAATTGTAGGCCTACCTACTTTTCTGAACAACAATAGCAATCGTAATATTCCGGAGAGTCGACAATTCAGATTAAAAGATCATTTATTTTGACCTCGTGACAGCCACCATTAGCATAATCTTTTTGAAAATATAAGGTACCAGAAACTTTCACAAATTGTCGAATTTTGTAATCAACCTTGCGTCTGAGTCGTCCGGCATGGGACTATACTGTATTTATTGCGTCATAATGTATAACCTATGTCTATAAACAATGATCACTTTTGAGTCCAGCTTTCAAAATTGCGATCGAAAATGGCTGTTTTTTTTTTCTTTCGTCCATTAGAATTCCTGGAAAAAGCACTTCCATTAGCTTTAAAAAAAAACATGTAAAAACAAATTTTCTCAGTAGTCCTGTCAAATGCTTCCGTTTCAAAGGAAATAGGCCTACTTTCGATTTCAGTACTTTATATCAAAACAATAAATAGTTAATTACTTAAAAAGAACTATGATTAATCCATTATCAATAAGATATTGTCTCATAAATCCTGAAAACACCCGGAAAAACCAAAATGTTGTTAAATCCAGTCAAATCGTATTATTTCTTGGTATTTTTTACGTCCTGTTGAACCAACGCGATAATAATAGATAATAACACATTGTGAAACATAGTTTTTATAAACCTTTCAGTATCATTTAGTATTAATAATAACGAAAACATTTTTTTTAATCTCACCAACTTTCATTTTAAACTCTAGTTTCTTCCTTCAAATATCAGAATTGTATTTTGTGAGTACAATCATTTTGATGTATACAAATACAATATCGGCCTCTACTGTGACCTAGTTACTAAAAATAGACACGACGAGTAATTTTATATTACTTGGAAATGGCGATTTCTTAGAAATCTCTATAGTTTCCATACTGAGCAAAAGGAAACAATTTACAGAAGCGTAGGATTAAAAAGGGACAAATGTCGAAAAATATTTCAGAACTATCCTTCTTGTCTGTGTAAGAGGACCGTATAAAGTTGTAGTTGTGTAGATCATTTACAGTCAGTAAATCCGAGGGGTTCAAATAGATTCGAACTTGAAAGTTATCACGTTGGTGGAATAATGACGATTTCCAAAGTTCACTCATTTCAGCAGAAACAGCAGTCTTTCAGTTTAAGACAAGAGAAAAAACTCAAAAGAAATACTATGAATTCAAACCAAAGAAAAGATGAAGAAAAAAGCCATGATGTAAAACTCACAGACTTTTATCCACAAATCGATCCATATTCGGAATTGGACAGTTTAAGAAAAAATCATCACCTTGTGGAATCGTGTACTTGGTACTACAGTAACTGTGACAGTCGCAGAGCCAAACAAATACTATCTCGTTCTCCGACTGGATCTTTTATATTAAGGAACAGTTCCGATCCGAAATTTTTATATTCGTTAAGCATACGGACAGATCGAGGACCTACTAGTGTCAGGATAAAATATTCTCGAGAATTATTTCAAATGGATTGTGATGAAAAACTTTTAAAAATATTACCACGTTTTGAAAATGTGATAGCTCTAGTCAATTTCCATTTAACTTGGAGTCAATCCGACAGTGACACTTCTTGCCGATTAATAGGTTCGACCAAAGACAAATATATACCCATAAAACTTACAAAACCAGTTGTAAACAGTCCCGGATCTTTAAAACATTTATCACGTTTAACAGTGAACCGTTCTATCAAAGATATACATATTCCTGCAAGTTCTACAGACTGTTTGCCAATTCCTGAATGTCTGAAGAATTATATTAGGGAGTATATTTACAAGGTGTGACGGGATATACAAATATAGGCTACATATCTGGCAACAATTATCGGTGAATCAAAACTATAAGTGAGAATACAAGCTGTTATAATTTATTTTCAGACGTCACAATTATATATACCAACAGAACAAAACATTTTCACATTCTGTTGTTTATGTTCTTCATATATATGAGAGTATATATATAAAATCGTTATAATATGAGGATCTTATAGAGTAGTCAAATTGTCAAATTCAAAACAGTTTAAAGGAATAATATGATATATTGGAATCCACATTTAATGTTGAAAATATTCTTCGGATTATTCACAGATTGACGTGACTACAAATTAAATTTTCATTTGATAGATTTTCTATTTTTGGGACCAGAAATAACGATATTTTAACTTTCGATACAATACATTGTTCTTAATATCAAAACGTTTTCAAATATCATTTGCTAAGATCAATTTTCTATATCGTGTGTGAATGTGTTTGTTGTTTTAAATTATTGTGTGTAATTCTTATATTTTGTGAAAAAAAACTTTAAAGTTATACATTTTAGTTTTAAATTTGCTCGATAATGTATGGAACATTATGGGTATAGGCTATATTTAGGGGCATATTTTTCCATATCTGTTGATGGGTACGAATATGTGGGATTGTCAAAATGCAAATATGTGAAAATTAATATCTACTGCACCTCTATTGTGAAATACTTGGGGAAACAAACGGGCCTTAAATGGATTCGAGATAATTGGAGACATCTTCTATGTTAACCATTCTTATTTCCATATTATGACGTCACAATCGCAAATACCACTCTGGCAAAAATGATTATGCGATAGTTATATCATCCCAATCCGATCAAGTTTTCTTGATATTTTGAAATGGAAGATAAGACTTCAGATGGGAAATTAAAGGAGTACAAAGGGAAACTATTCTGAAAGGGACAAGTGGGCCATTTTGTTTAAACCAGAAGAAACGGTGATTTTTTTAGATAAGCCAATCAGAGATAATGTTATGAGCCTTCAAATCCATGTTGGTCCAGAATTATCCGCGCTTGAATGTTTAAATGACTCGTCATTTTTCTTGAGACTCTGCCATATATATATAGAAAAGACATCTATTATAGAAATAGGAAAAAGAATTGCTATTATAAACAATTTGAGATATTTTTGAAGGAATTTTGCGATTTTCGTACTTTTCTAGTTCTTCTGAAGACTACCGTATTAACATATATTCAAGACTCACACTAACCCAAACGCTGATATCTTTATTTATTCATTTATTTATAATTGGGACCTAATTTGTTACTTCTTCTAACTTAGGAATTGGTTCTACTTAACCAAAGTTGATTCCTGGAACCGATTAATAATAATAATCATGGTTCATATTCGAATATAAGTCGTCAAGTGTAATTTTATTTAACCTCTATTATACGACACACCTTGATTACATAAGCTAGCCCATTTGGCAAACATTATGCAAGTTTTTACAGTTTCTGATGTGCTCGAACGCAAAGAACAAAAATCGAACGATTAAATAATTGATTGTCCTTTTACAGAAATAATGACACGATTCTAAGAAATTGATATAACGTTGCTTGGCACTTGGGGAAGTTAAAACAACACATTGTCTGCAACGAATGGAATTCGATTTCGAATATCTTAATTTATTATGTATACACTATATGCGTGTGAACCGCATCAAAATATAAATCTCATTTAGATCGTTTCCACTGGGCGTAGTCAACTTGATCGATTCTTTTCTCATGCGGCAATGTGTTCTTAATTCCAATTTCATCGAAGTTTATAACGGGAATTTCATTTGTTGTTGTGCTTATGCATTCTTTATAACTAAACGCCTGTTAAATTGTATCTGAAAAAAAATCGGTCAACCCTCTTTCAAAATATCTCTTATATAATGGATGATTATTTTATCGTATTATGATAGAATAGGATAGGCCTAATCTTAACAGTTGCGAAGGCATGATACAATTATTGTGTGTTTGACTCAATGAGTGTGGGCAATGCATCTTCTTTATTTAAAGCAAAAAAAAATTCGTCGGGATGTTATTGCGTATTAATTTTAAAATGAAAAGAAAAACAATTCATGATACATACCATAAGCCTTTTCAAGGAAATATATTTACAAAGGAGTGTTGTTTTTATTTTAACCAATCAATATCGAGCGTTTTGTTGATTAGTGTCCCGGAAATAAACATTAAACAAGTTTAAGAATCATATAAAATTTTAGTCTTCAAATCCATACGTGTCCAATATGTTCCGCGTTTGAATGTTAAAATGACGACTCATTTCTCGAGACTATGTCATTTAAGAAATAGAAAAAGGAATTCCTAGTTTTTTTCTTAGTTATTTTTTTCTCGTTTTATATACGAACCTTTAACGATATTTTTTCCTACAATTATTGTTACAATATGTATGGATATAGAATTTTAATGTNTCCTACATACAGTGTTATCTATCT